TAAGGCATAATTATCTATTTTCACCTGCTTCATAAATTCCTCCTTCTCATTTCGTCCCCCAGTAAACTAGAAACTATTTAAAACTAAAGACACGCATTTCAGGGCTTGGTTTCACATTGCTGTGCACTTCCTCATGTGTTCCCGGCGGCTCCCTCTCTCCGGCGGACCCTCTGGTACTTCCCATGACATAATCCCCTCCTGTGGAAAGAAGTGTGTCTGACTCTATGGAGTCACTATGCCCCCACTCCCTGAGAACCTAAAGCCAGTCTTGTCTGTCACTGCTGCTGCGGCTTCTCAGTCCTCTCAGTCCCAGAGGAGAAGGTTCCATAGCAGCTGAGTCTTCAGATGCTTGGTCTGCACCTCCCCCCTCCTCCCATAGCACATCTGGTCACAGTGGCCATGACCTTCACATTGTTTTCACAAGGATATTCAGGCCAAGGTGACTGTGTAGCCTGGGGCCACACAATGGATTCTGCTGTGATGGTCACGAACCATGTCAACCTGGATTCTCCTTAAGGGTATGTATCACTTTTATTTTTAGATTTCCAACATCCTATCATGATAGAAGCTTCCCTATCTGCTGCAGTCTTCACACTTTCCAGAGATATAACCAAAGCAAGTGCTAACACCAATTGAGAGTTCGCTATGAAGCAGGCATGGTGCCAAAGATTCCATAATACTATTTTGCTTAATCCTCATAACAACCCAGAAAGGCATACATTATCATGAGGTCGTGAGAATAAAATGACAGAAACTAAGAAAGTTAAGGAATTAGCCCACGGTCACATAGAAAGTAAGAGACAGAGTCAAGATTCCAACTTGTGTCTGGGAAGTGGCAAAGCTCATCTCACAACCACTATAATCAATTGATGATTCAATCACTTTCCCAGGACCCACCAAGATTGGGGCAGTTTGGGGATGCCAGGACTCCCCAGGGAGCTTCAGNATTCCAACTTGTGTCTGGGAAGTGGCAAAGCTCATCTCACAACCACTATAATCAATTGATGATTCAATAACTTTCCCAGGACCCACCAAGATTGGGGCAGTTTGGGGGTGCCAGGACTCCCCAGGGAGCTTCAGGGTCTCTGGGTGGTAGCCCAGGGAGGCAGTAGGAGGAAGAAGGTGACAAGTTCCTCAGCTGCAGCTCAGTAAGCCAGAAGTTCAGAACCAGCTCCTCAGCCCACAACTTTCACGGACCCTCCTGGCTAGTGGGCTGCACCTTCCCCTTGACCTCTCCCTCTGCCCCCTGCTGTAAGTGGCCCTTTGGTAACTCCTCACTAAAGGTGACCCCCCTGTCCACATAGCCTGGCTTCATTCGGAGAGTTTCGTTAGCAGGGAGGGGTTGGGGGTCAACTGTGACCTGCCTTCTAGCTATTTACCAAGTTCCCACCTCATCCCATCTAGGGCTTAGGTTGTCACTCTTCAAGGGCCTCCCTGACATGCTGCCATGTTGCATCCTAAACCTTTACATCTTCTCTTCTCTCTTTGCAGAGTCTGCAGGGGACAAGTCCCCCTCTTGACTACGAACAGGTATTGGCCATTGCTGGGCAAGCGGGTGGTCAGCCAGGTGTTCATGCAGCAGATCCAGAACTCCAGGCAGAGGTGCCAAAGGAGAAGGAAGAAGGGGGCTGGGTGTCTATAGACCAGCAGCAATGACATCATCACACTGAGATACAGAGCTCACTATGCCTCCTCCTTCAGTTCCACTTGGAGTCCAACCACTGCCTTGGGGAGCGCCCAAATCCCTGCTGAATCACAAACTTTGTCAAGGACAAGGCTGGATACAAAAGGCTGCCAGGGTCTCTCAGAGGTCAAGGGGATCCCCGGCACTCCCAGAAGAGTAAGAAGAAAATGGAGAAATGTCTACACAAGTCCTACAAAACTTATCATGCATCCTGAATGTTTAATTTAGAATAAGTGAACATCTTTAACACTATAAAAATGAATATATATGTGCTGGTCCCAAGAGATTAATGGAATTCATTAAAAATATCAATTTTCAGCACACTATAAGTACTTTAGCCTTGTAAAAGAGCACATTTTAAACTGCAAGATTCTTTATAAAATTTTCAGTGTTGTCAGTGAAAGTGCATGACCATTGATATAATCTCATTTAAAGATGATGGCACTAGGCCAGACCTGAGGCCCTTCTAGACTTCAAGGCCAGGGATCTTGGACACTCCTGACACTGTCCCTTTTCCCCAATGCCCACAGGACCTGGACACTGTTGATGCCCACCATCCTGTGCATTTCAGAAAGACAGAATTCCCCTTTACCTAGGTCTACCCACTGCCCCGCTGGGCCATAATTGGTTCCTGATTGGATGGATGGAGGACGGCACTTGCCAAGTGGATAAGCACGTAGATACCCCCTCCCTCCCGCCACTTTATCCGGCCTCTCTCAGGCTGGGCTGGGCTTGTGTCTAGCTGCCCTGCTCCAGCTGTGGAAACAGCCAGGGCCCCAAAGCCATGGTGTAGGGCTGTGCCTGGCCTCAACAGCTCCAGATATGCTTCCGGTAGCTGAAAAATTATTTACTGTGGTGATGTGCAATGTCTTTTTAAGAGAACAGATGGTACCTCCAATTAGAATGCTTTAAAAGGAAACCCTAATGAGATTCTAAAAAGCCAACAAATTGACTTTTTCATACAGTACTTCCCTGGTACACAATAAATCAAATATATAATGAGGCTCAATAAAATAATAGGCTTATTTACACTTGTTTTGCCTAGCATTGTGCTGCAGCCCAGCCCAGCCTCTGGGACTCTCACTAAGAGCTTGCCCCTGCAGGCCGAGGCTGGACAATAATACATCAGTGAGCTGCTGTCAGGCCTGACCAACACAGATGAGTGTGGCTCTGATTTAATAATTTCTCGTCTGACCCTAGCACTCTATATCTGGGGAGGTAAGAGCACAGATCTATGCAAAAGGTGTGGTGACACACACAGGTAAGTCTAGCATTCACCCATACTCTGGGCAAGGTGGGGAAATGATAGTGGGATCACAGGGAGTGAGGAAGACGGGCCTAACCTCAGAGCTCGCTGGGCCAGAGACAGGGGATAAAAGCCTGCAAAATCTGATTTTAAAGAGGTGGACTCAGAATATGGTTAGGCAGAGCAGACTGAGGGTCTACAATGTTCAGGCTGGAGGCTTTGGGACATTATTATTTATTCCAGGAATCAGTCCTGTTGGTTCAAGCACATCAGGTTAGATGGTTGGAAGATAAACCTTGAGAGGTATGTAGGAGGAATGCTATAGGGCAAGGGGGACAGCTCCATCTCAGCATTCTGAACATCTGGTCATCGGCCTACCTTTCCTCTAGGTGACCTTATCCAGGAGCTGGATGGATTTATAGGGTATATCTGCTGAAGTGGGAAGCTCGGAGGCCCAGGCTTTTATTATGTGTATTAGTTGATCTGCA